AGAGATTACACAGGCTTTTAATAATGTTTATTTTTAAATTTTTAGTTTTCGGTTATCACAGGGTATCCACGGATGCCACAAGTCTTTTGTTCTTTTTTGTGATATCCTGCACTTTAGTAGTAAAAATAAATCTTATCTTATCTTATCTAAAAGAACTAAGTTTTAAAATCCATAAAAAACGGCCTAATTTTTAAAAAAAATCAAAATCTCTGTGCATAGCTTTTAGATAATTTAAAAAATATTTTATTTTTATTCTACGTGAAAAATTGAATCTAAAAAATCTATTTTTAGTTCCATTCAAATATCGTAAATCCATGAAAGATTTTAGTTTTCTGCCATAGCTGAAATACCTCTTCCGGTCACGGTAAAACTTTCAACTCATTTTAGTTAGAAGATAAAGCCAATATTTTAGCCTTTTAGCCAAACTTTTTCATGGACTTACGGTATTTGATAGAACCAAAAATAGATTTTTTAGATTCAATTTTTCACGTAGAATAAAGATAAAATATTTTTAAAATTATCTAAAAGCTATGCACAGAGATTTTGATTCTTTTTAAAAATTAGGCCGTTTTTTATGGATTTTAAAACTTAGTTCTTTTAAATTTTCAACCTCAAAAGATTTTTTTCAAACGTTAAAACACACATATTCGGACTCTGTTCGACGAGCTCTATCCAACTATGTATAAATATCACAAAAATGAGTTGCGTTCAAGTTTTGAATTTCCGGCACCTTACTGAACATCTGTCCAAAATCGAAATTTTTCAAACCGTTTCAGCAAAAAACTTGCATCAAACAATTTGTTTTTTGTTGAGGAAAAGTTACGTGGGCTTTTCCAAAGAAAATGTTTCATAGAGAAAATCATGAATTCAGCATTAGAAAGTTCATGCATATTACAGAGCTATTGTACGCTAAAACGAAATTCCTAGTAAGTCAAAATGTAGCGCTCATCGTGATCTTCAAAATGGATTTTTGGTTTTACCTGACAACGAAAATTTTAATTGAGATAGAATTAAAACCTAAAATACAGGGTGTTCCAAATATCTTATCGGAAACAAAAAAATGAATATCTTCGCCATTTGTTAACTAAACTTCAAGGTTATTTTTTTGTTGGATAGAAAAATGTTCCAAGTTTTATTTGATATGATTGGAACTTTTTGTTGCTGCTTGAAAAAATATTTGGGTTTATTATAGTGAAACTCAGATTTTTTGGAACTCTTTGTTAATAAACTATGTACTGCACAACTTTATGAATGAAACAGAAATGATTCTTTACAAATAAACTAAAGTAGACGATGCCTGCTGTCACATAACAAAATAATTATATACTTTTGTTCAAAAATGACTGGATGTTGTGGATTTCTTCAGCCATAGTTGTTTTGCACAAGTATCTGGGAAAGTGCAAAAATTAAATACAAATTCTTTTCAGAGAAAATTAACTAATCACAGGAAAAACCACTAGTAGAATTTCATATAAAGAAGGTAGTCCTACAAAGTGGAATATTTTGAAAGTCTGTAAAAATATGTATGAGGCTATTGTAGAAGCCAAAATGCGTAGGTCACGTTAATAGGTACTATATAGAGAAATTATTTGCTTTTGGCAAAACTTCAAGTTGAACAAAACATTTAAATATGTGGGATTGTAGAGCAATCCGAGTTCTACAAAATGAGACGTAGTACGACTCTGACAAAGATTTCGTTCAATTACGACAAGCTCCATAGTCTTTACTCACTATTATAACAACGTATACAGAACACATGCGTCGCAAGTTTTATTATCTTTCCACACTGACGTTTTTTACACAAAAGTTCCAATCGTATCAAATAAAACTTGGAACATTCCTCTATCCAACAAAAAACTAATCTTGGAAGTTTAGTTAACAAATGGCGAACATATTCATGTTTTATTTCCGATGAGATATTTGGAACACCCTGTACATGTTGTTGCAGTTTTTTTCCTACACAAACTTTAGCAAACAGCTTGTATTGTGTGGTATTTTGCCTGCAATCTACACGAGTTTTAAACACCCATTCAACTGGTTTTAATACAAAATAACGAAATTAGAAACTACGCTAAACTGAAGTCTTGATTTTTCATTAAAATAGCTTTTCATGTCGCCCCTCAACTGAGGGGCGTTCCGTGGGAAGTTTACCACGTTTACATTCGGGGTGTTCGGCATGGTCTGTTAGTTTATTAAAACAAAAACTAATTTGCCTAGTCGGTCGCTAGCATCATTGATCAGTCAAATATACGCGTAAACAGGTGCCTTGATTTCAGTGGGTAATATGTGCATAGTCCAGGAAAAATTTCAAAATCCCAGTCAATTAACCAGATATGACTATTTGTGCAAGTAAATATCACAAAAGTATCATGGTTTCCGGTGTTTCTCAAGGATGGCCTGTTTAGTCAAATTGGAACTTTTGAGGCACCCCTTTTCTCATCAAACTGTAATCGAAAACAAACGCTTTACTCATATTCGCATTCGACAAGTTGAGTCGGGTACAAATATATGTTTAAAACAATTTCCAAGTGCGTAGTTGGGGGCATAGACGGATGGTCAAAAAGGAATGTTAAGCGAAAAGTAAGCTTACCTATTTTTAGGTACCATTTCTGAACAAAATAAATCCCAAACTCAAATGTTAGCTCATATCAAAAACAAAACACAAAAAGCAAACGAAAAAAGATTTGGATTTAGTTGTTTTAAACTTTATTTGTTGAAGAGAAAAGGCATACACACTATCGAACGTGATACTCATTATTAGGCATGCAACGGTAACGATTATCGGTGCTTATCAATTATCGGTTACCGATCATCGGTCCTTATCAATTATCGGTTACCGATCATCGGTCCTTACTGATTATCGTTTCTTACCGATTATCGTTTTTTTACCGATTATCGTCTTGCCGATTATCGGTCCTTACCGGATATTGTCTATCGATTTTCGGTCAAATTTTATAAAAGAACTACCGTAATACTCACAAGATTTCGTTCTATTCACAAACGTAAAAATGTTCAAGACTTCCATATTGGAACTTTCCAAAGGACTCACTCAAAGGCAATGGCGTATGCTAATATTATTGAAATAGCAAAAAAATGTGCTGACTTTGATCGAGTCCTTTAGAAGATTCCGTTGTGGGAGTCTTGAAGTTTTTTTTACATCTGTGAGTAGACCGAAATCTGGTGAGTCTTATGGTAGTTCTTTTATAAAATTGGGATCAAAACTGACTGAGAAACTTATCGGTTTTATCGGTAAGAAGCAATAACTATGATAACGACAATCGGTAAGAAGTGATAATTGATTAACCGATAATCGGTAAGAAGCGACAATCGGTAACATACGATAAAACGATAACGATAAACTGATAAATTATCGTTACCGTTGCATGCCTACTCATTATAAGCATATTTGTCAGAAAAGATAGAGAAAACGAGATAAAGTACAAAAACAGATACAAAAAAGAATCAATAACCAGACAATAAAACAAAATGAAAAGATGACTGAAGGAGAAGTAGGGGGTATTAGATACCACAATGCAGAAATTTGGAACCGACTCATTTCCATTCCTCATCTCGAAGCTGTCATTTGCCGCGCGGTGCAGTTGATAAGAATGGGAAAAGAAAAGACGAGACGACGGTCCTAGAATCGTTTAGTTTCTTTTACATACTGAGCCACAACGTTCGCAATTAGATAGATCTCTTTTTGTTGTATATAGGCAGGTTCGCAAAGAAGTAAAAATGGTGACGTTAATGTGCATGTTATAGGCGGTAGTTTTCTAAATAAGGTAACTCTTTGTTGGAGGTATAATGGACAAGTGAAAAAGTAGTGATAAATTGCGTCTGTCTGTCCACAAAGACAATAAGAAGATGGTACACATTGTCTACGTGTAAGTAATAGTTCGGTTTAGTAAAACCCACTCTAAGATGGCCTTTTCCAAAAACCTTGAAGGAAGCTCAATGTGCTTGATAATGTTATTGATAACGTTACCTGGCCGTAGAATATTTATTTTTGCAAACAATCCAATCCAATTCAATCCAATTTTAGTAGCAAATCTTCATGGCTAGCATTATCAAAGGCTTTCTTGAAGTCTAAGAGCGCTGGTCTAACAAATTTGTCCTTTTTCATTCCTTCATTGATTATATTTACCACTTCTATAGTAGATATGTAGTACTAAATTTATTTCTAAAAGCCGATTGATGAACACTTGGCAAATTGTTTACTGTCAAGTAATTACATAGCTTCAGAGGTAAGCAAGTCCGACCATTTCCGCGTCCAAGTCCGCTGGAGCTTAAGTCCCAGTCCAAGTCAAGTGCAAGTTCGAGTCGAAGTTCTTCATATTTCTCCACTATACACTACGTCATAATCATACATGACAGATAAATAAATTTTATCCATACATTGATGCATGTTTGACAAAAAAAAGATTAATAAATGAGGTATCAGATTATACTAAATCCGTTGTTGAATGTAAAAGATTTTAATTCCTTGGACTTCAGACGGACTTGATAAAAAAATATTTATTATATAATCAGTAATTGTGCCATCTAAAAAGCTTTCAACTATGCCCAGTATTGCTGAATGAGAAATAGCATGTATGACCGAAGTTCGTCCATTTGCTTTACTAGACTACGTAAATTCATAGAACTTATTTTAAGACCACTTCGTTCCTTTGACATTATGCAGCCATGATAATAATAGACTAGTAAGAAAACAAACCAACTTAGCCACGCGACAAAGATGCAAGAAAGACGAAAAGCATGAATCATATGCTGTATAAATTGCGTACTCTTGTACGAAAAAGGGCGAATAGACTTTTAGCTGAGAGAACAGCATGACGATAAACAGTAATTACCAAAAGCTTAAAAAGAAAAGAAAATGTTCTCTAAACTTCGGATATTTGGATAGTGTATATGAGTTGGTCAGTTCATATAAGCAAACCATGTCGTACACAAGTAAAACGACACGCTTCTGATGTAAAAGAAAGAAAATGAACGTCTTACCATTAGTAATGAATCGCGTTACAATGATTAAATGCTGTTTCTTTTTGCAAGAAATCGACTTCATCGTGCGACATTAATTGACCACGATAAAATATTGTTGTCGATGATTCTTGTTGTTGTTGTTGTTCATATCTAAGCTGGCGGTATAAATCAACAATCAAAAATCGAAATGAAACAATCCACTCAATATTCCTCTGTCGACACATCGTATTGAGTAGATCGTACACGAACATGTCACGTGTGTATAGCGTTACTGCCTGTAATGAGTTATAATTGTTCTCAATTTCTGCAATTTGTCTCAACCGTTTCTCGTCGTTTTTATAAAGCTTCTTCACTTTTAATATCCAGTCTTGTTTGGATGATTCATTTGTTTCATCCATATCAATTAATAAATTGATCAATAAAGAAAACCACTTCATCGTCGTATCTGATGTGGTACAATGATGTTATAACTGAATGGATTTAGCGTACCATGCATATAAGTTCCATGCAAATACCGACTCAATGGTTGGATAGCACCAGTGGTTTTTTTCTTCATCAGATCATCAAAGTTCCGGAGAAATTTCGCCCGATATTCAAAAATGTAATCTTTCACAGTTTGACTCTAATTTCTGAGCAGTTGATTTTTGCAGGTCTGTTGGTTGTCAAAAATTTTCGGTTTTCTAAAGGTTGCCGCCGACGAGAAATCAAAAGCTTTTTCTGGCATACAAAATAAAAAAGGAAAAGTATAGAAATAAAAACATTCTTTGTCATTTCTTTCAAAAAGATCATATTACTCTTTGTGCATACAAAAAGATCATAGTACGCTTCGTGCATATAAAAAATTCATTTTTCATACACCTTCATTAGTAATGATAATCAATACTACAGCTCATATTGCAAAAACTATTTTCTAGTATACAAAATAAAAAAGGAAAAGTATATAAATAAAAGAATTCTTTTTCTTTCTGCAAACGTTAAATATTATAGAAAGAGTTAAGACAACAAATCAGACCACTTTCTTTGCGAGAGGCTTGGAAAGAAACACTATACCTATTCTGATTTGCCTTTTTTGGATGTAAAGTCTAGCTTTGAGAAAAAATAAAAAATAGTTTCACATGGCAATTACAATATCTCACATTATGTTCAATATCTATAAATCAGTTCATGTTTAATGATTATACTACAGTGATGAACTTGAATGAAAAATTATCTGTAAGTATTGTGATACTGAATATCGATTCTGAGCGATTCACGTCAAGTTTGAACATTCGCTTGCGATTACGAGGTATTACGAACACAATCCATTTAGTTAACTGTGGAAATGACGTACAAAAATGTGAACAATATATTCGAACCCGAAAAATTTACTATGAAGGACATAGCAAAGACTAAGATAAGAGATTTATACAGGTACGTTGCATATTTATACGGTATTAACGGTTTTCGTATGATTCAGCGATTATGGCTTGAAAAATTAATTGATTTTACGTTTGACATACACGAGGCTGAAAAGAAGCGACTGTTGATGACAGCACTTTATGAAGAATACAGATACGATTTGAAATGTGGACGATATGAAAAAACGTATGATGATTATATGACAAAAAGACATGACAACAGCAAAAACAAGTTGGGTCATCGATCTAATCCAGGATCTGATTATCTTGAATGTGGCCGATATGTAGAAGCCATTAGATGGTTAAAAAATAATGAACGCTAGTTCATACAAAACAAGCTCTGTGCTGATCTACATTTCCTTGCAGTTTAGTCCACGCAGATCGAACAACAAACACTTTAGCATTCTATTGCCTTGGTTCAATCATCTTCTTTAATTAAACATTTTGTATTACCAAACATGCTGTTATTGAAAATTGGACCAGTTTTAAAATTTGTTTTGTTTTTAAGATTACTATAATGTCACGGTTCTTTCAACATGTCTTTCTTTTTGCGAAAGAGAGATAGGATGCAAACATTGGCTTCCAGGTTAATATAATGAACTACAAACAAGTTTTGAAACAGCACCATCAGAGGAATCTACGAAGAAAATAAAAATTTCAGAACTAAAGGGAAACCAATGCCTGTTCGCAGAATGAAAACGTAAAACAAATATTTATTAACACACAGGCATTACAAGCTCATGTTGAAGCTAAGCATTCGGGGCTTCCTCAATCTACACATACGTTCTATTCTTCACTTGTGTAAATACGGTTGTGTTTCTGCTCCTTTCCCTTCTGTGGTCAAGCAAAAGTGATCGCTTTGCAGATATGCAAGCCACTTTTATTCTTGAGCTAATGGTTTATTTAACTAAATTCTGAACAGAAACCATCAAGGTATGCATTAATTTTTGTGCGACTTTTTTCTCCTGTGATAGGTAGTCACATTACAGAGTGGGACCAAGCAGAGATGGTTACCAGCGGCACATTCAGCTTTTGCAAAAGTCTCTGCGTTGGATAAAAAAATGGTCACATTAAGAGGTACTACTGTACAAAAGAAAACAAGAAAATTGAATGTAAAATTTTATGTATCAGATTAGTTTATCAATGTCCGTGTTGCGTTTATATGTATTACTGAGATTACCTCCAGTTTTTTCGATGTTGATTTATGTCTGCATGATAGTTCTTCATGCCTTGGTTTTTGCGTGATTTATGCTACTAACAAATTTCAATAAATGTCTTCAATTTAGATTATTACATTACTGTTAAATTAGATTAAACATTACTGTTATAAAAATACACTTTTTTTCCTATAATCCAAACAAAAAAATAAATAATTTATCTGCTGGTTGCAACTTCGTGAAGTGTATTTTTATTGAGTAGGATCCCAAAAAAGTATAGAATCTGTAAGACCGGCTTTTGTTTCAGTTCAGTTGCCACATTTTTAAACAAATACCATACAGTATAGTATACCGGAACGAAGAAAGAAGAACATGGCGAAATGTGCCTAATTTTGCATAGTAAATAAGTATGTGAAATGTAGATCAGCACAGAGCTTGTTTTGTATGAACTAGCGTTCATTATTTTTTAACCATCTACCCTAGGCGTCGATTCTTATATAAGCATCAGTTAAGAATCTTATAAGAAACTTATAAGTACCCAATAAGATTCACGTAAGAATCTTACCTGATTCTTATCAAATTCTTATATAAGATTACGCAG